TGGTCGACCGGCGGGCTCCCCGCAGAGCTTCCGGAGCAAGGCTCCGCCGACCCGCGGCGCTCTCCCTCTCCCTCCACCCGCGAACGGCGAGCGGCGCGGGCCAGCCAGCTGCCCCACTGGTGCCCTGGCCTTCCCCCTGTGTCCCCAGTCACGAAAGCCCCACCGTCTTCATTCCAGGACTTTGTGCGGCCGCCCCAACCCCCTCCCGGGCCCCGTTCTCCTCTCCGCTTTAAGCTCCGGGGAAGTCCTAGAAAAGTATTTCGGAAGCTACCCCTCAGAGAGGGTCTTCACAAAGGACAGGTTTTCTTCAGGGCGGAGGAACTTGGGTGCCTACCCGAACCCCAACCTTGCCTTCCGGAACAGCACAGAAATATGAGCTTTCGGGAAGGGGGTTGGGGGGGGTTGTCTGTGAATCGCGCGCTTGTGCGTGTCCCGGGAGATCTGGTGTGTCTGAGCAGAGGCGTGTAAATGTACTTGAAAGCACAGGCCATAAAAATGAATATGCCGTCGCCATGAGATAAACATGTAAATAAAAAGCGCGGTGCCAGGGAGAGGAGAGGGGGCGCGCACACCCCGCAGACGCTGCGCTCCCTGCCTGCGAGCTCACGGTCTCCTCCGCGGCTGGGCCTCAGCCGCCCGGCCCACCCCAGGGCTCGGGTTGCAGGTGGGCCAGCTGACCAGAGCTACGTGTGTTTCGTTTTTTTAGAGAAAGAAAAGAGCCAGCAAGGAAAGAATGAGGACGTGGGCGCCGAAGACCCGTCCAAGAAGAAGCGGCAACGGCGGCAGCGGACGCACTTCACCAGCCAGCAGCTGCAGGAACTGGAGGCCACTTTCCAGCGGAACCGCTACCCGGACATGTCCACGCGCGAGGAGATCGCCGTGTGGACCAATCTCACGGAAGCCCGGGTCCGGGTAGGAGTCCACGCGGGCGGGCAAATGGGGAGGGTGGTGTAGAGGTGCCGGCCGCGTAGTGCCGTGAGACAGTGTGGAGGCCCGCGCCCCCCCCCCCCAGAAAGGTGCGGCCGGGAGAGGGGGGGGCCTTGGCAAAAGCAGAAGGCCTCGCGGCGCCCCACGTACAAGGTTCCAGCCCACCCCTTGCGAGGCCGGCGGCGGCGGGGCTGGCGCAGGCCCCGGGTCCCCACCGCTCACCGCCCCGCCAACCCGCGCCCACCCAACTGGGCCGCATGGCATGCTCCTGCACGGGGCTTTATGTTCCCGGCTTGCAGTCGCCAGGCGAGCGCTCAGAACATCCCTTCCATGCCAGCAGCCGAGAACAGGCTCCAACCTGTACACCTTTAACAAGGAAAACCCGCCAAAGACACGCAAGGGTTGAACCTCCCTGGGAAACTTTCGATCCCGGCCTGGCCCAACCCTTACTCAGCTCGCCCTCCTCACCCGGTCTTGGCGGGTTTGGGGCCTTTCAGGTCTCTCCCACACCCTTCCTCCTGGTTTTGAGATCTCCGGAAACAAAGTCTGAGCACACAGCTACCCGACTAGTCCTCTTAGAAAGAAAAAAAGAAAGCCTTTTCAGATTGGTTTATTTACCTTTTCTCGGTAGACTGTACTCACACCCCTCCTACCAATTGTAACAGTGTTATTAAAGGAAAAAAAAAAGCTTACCTTTGTAGCAAGGCTGTACTAAATGAATTGGCAAAATTGAGTTTGAATAAATTACCCGGTAGCAACATCCGGAATTGTGCTGATCTGCAGAAAACTCCCCAAGTCTGTTAGGATTCTGGAAGCAGAAAACACACAGAGACGGATCCAGAGGCTTTGTTGTAGAAAAGCCAAAAAATGCCCTGGATAGAAAAATGGAGCCCCCACTTAGAGCGCACAGGCCACAAAGAAGAAAACACGGCATGCGAAACAATCACGATGAAAAGAATAAAGCCTGCAACGTGCTCCCAAGCAGAGCGAAGGAAGGCGGCCCCTGGGTGACGTTTCTGTAGAGGGTGAAGACTGGCCGCGGATTCAAGAGCCGGGGTGAAGTAGGAACAGATTTTAGTTTAACCGCGCAGACCTGGCGCCCGGGCCCGGCCGCGCGCTGCCGCGCAAGGTCAGCCTTCCTCTGGTCTCCTGCCGCTCAGGGGAACGCGCCGCGCACGTACTTTTCTCGACCGGGCAAAGTTTACGCGGATGGAAATGACAAGTAATTAAAACAAAGCGATTATCTGTGGGTTCTCTGGAACCCTCCCCGCCTGGGCTTTCCTGCGGTCCCTCGGGAGTCCCCGGCCGCTGCCGCCGTGGGCTCGCCCGCTCGGCCCAGCGGTCCTGGGGCCGGTGCTCCGCCGCCAAGTGGGAGCGAGGCGTGCTTTTTATAGCAGTCGGATGCAGAGGGGTAGGGGGATAAAAAGGAAATAAGAGGATGAAAGGGGAAAGGGGGGGAAGGCGGATTAGGAGGCTGGGCCCAGCCGAGATTTGTAATGTGAAACATCACCGGTGTCAGCTCGGAAATCTCGGGCCAGGCCGAGCTCCAATACACAAAAGCCGCCGTCTGGGGCGACGGGCGTGCTCGATGTGGATTGAGAGCGGGGTTGCGGCGGGGCCACCGGACGCGGGTGGGGGCAGTCGGGACGGGGGGCCGCCTGCAAGGCCGAGGGCCCCGATGCGCCTTGGCGGGCTGCGCCGGTGGGAAGGGTGCGAGGTTGGGCTGAGGGTAAGAAGGAGCCGAGGAAAGGGAGGCGGCGGCTGCAGACAGAACAGTTCTGGATCCCCTGAGATTTACATGCCAAGCTCGTAGAGTTTAACGAGCTGTCGGGGAGGTGGTCTTTTGCTTTTTATTTGGTAGTTTTGCTGGGCGAGGAAGGGGGTCCGCAGTTCTCACCAGGGGAGGGCTCACGTTCCAGGGGGTGGGAGGCGACACTGGAGGTCTGAGGGGAGAGGGAGGAGCTCCGCGTGTGAGAGGGAGGGAGAAGAGTGAGCGAGCAGAGCGGCCGTTGGTGCCCTCGGAGCCCGGCGTCCTCATCTCTGGCTTTGGAATGGAAGCGAGTTTGTAGGTGGCTGGGGCGAAGGATGGGGCCGAGAGCCCGCGGGTCTGCGTTTATTTTGCAGTAAGTGTCTTTGGAGCCTAAAGAGGACCTGGGTTATGAACAGGCCGCCCGCAGGCAGCCCACGGGGGCGTTGGGCTGGGGGTTGTGGCCCAGCTCAGAGCCGGGGCTCACCGGCCCCAGCCTACCCCGGGTCCTTCGCCTGGCCTGGGCGGCGCGCTGCGCTGGCAGCCGCGGATGGGCTCCCGCCCGGGCGCCGCGTGGGGAGGGTGTGCGTGTGTCAGAGCCGGTGGCTTTTCTGGTGCTTTCCGGGATCAAGGCTTCGCTAATCCGATCTGTGGCCTCTGTTTGCTCCCTTGCCCTCCCCCACCCCACCCCACCCCCCAGGTTTGGTTCAAGAACCGCCGGGCTAAATGGAGAAAACGAGAGCGCAACCAGCAGGCCGAGCTGTGCAAGAATGGCTTCGGGCCGCAGTTCAACGGGCTCATGCAGCCCTACGACGACATGTACCCGGGCTACTCGTACAACAACTGGGCGGCCAAGGGCCTCACGTCGGCCTCCCTGTCCACCAAGAGCTTCCCTTTCTTCAACTCCATGAACGTCAACCCCCTGTCGTCGCAGAGCATGTTCTCCCCGCCCAACTCCATCTCCTCCATGAGCATGTCGTCCGGCATGGTGCCCTCCGCGGTGACCGGCGTCCCGGGCTCCAGCCTCAACAGCCTGAATAACTTGAACAACCTGAGCAGCCCGTCGCTGAATTCCGCGGTGCCGACGCCCGCCTGTCCTTACGCGCCGCCGACTCCTCCGTACGTTTACAGGGACACGTGTAACTCGAGCCTGGCCAGCCTGAGACTGAAGGCCAAGCAGCACTCCAGCTTCGGCTACGCCAGCGTGCAGAACCCGGCGTCCAACCTGAGTGCGTGCCAGTACGCGGTGGACCGGCCGGTGTGAGCCGCGCCCGGGGCACCGGAATCCTAGGACCGTGCTGCGGGCGACTCTGCCCTTGAAAGACTGGGAGTTACGCTAGAAGGTCGTGGGTGCAAAAGAAAGGGAGAGAAAGAGAAGCTATAGAGAGAAAAGGAAACCACTGAATTACAGAGAGCTCCTTTGATTTCAAAGGAATTTCCTCAATGTCTGACATCTTTCACTAAAAGTATTTCCAACAGTTGCAAGGACACACACAAATGTTTGACTGGATATGACATTTTAACATTACTATAAGCTTGTTATTTTTTAAGTTTAGCATTGTTAACATTAAAATGACTGAAAGGATGTATATATATCGAAATGTCAAATTAATTTTATAAAAAGCAGTTGTTAGTAATATCACAACAGTGTTTTTAAAGGTTAGGCTTTAAAATAAAGCATGTTATACAGAAGCGATTAGGATTTTTCGCTTGCGAGCAAAGGAATGTATATACTAAATGCCACACTGTATGTTTCTAACATATTATTATTATAAAAAAAACGTGTGAATATCAGTTTTAGAATAGTTTCTCTGGTGGATGCAATGATGTTTCTGGAACTGCTATGTACAACTACCCTGTGTATAACATTTCGTACAATATTATTGTTTTACTTTTCAGCAAATATGAAAAAAAATGTGTTTTATTTCATGGGAGTAAAGCATACTGCATACAAATCGGTCTGGATTCTTTCTGCCCTTCTTGTCGCCTGGCCAGGGTTTCTCAGCCACTGCTTCCTGAGCGAGCCACTTCCCTCTGCCTGCCTTTTACATAAATACTCAGTGCAAAACTACCTATTTAAATTTGGTAGAAATGAATTAGAGTCATCAGAAACTAACAAAAACAAGGGGGGGGGGTGGACTGTCCCAGGGGGTAAAGAAGGCTGCAAAGTCTGGTCTTGTCGCCCAGATTTTTCGTTGGCTTAAATCCAGAGGATTCCATTAGTGCTAGCAACTAATAGGAGAGAAAAATTAAGAGAGTAGGTTAACTTACACTGAGTCTCCAGCTTCGGGGTGGGGAGTGGAAATGGGGACTTGCACCTCCAGGAAATTGTTCTGGAGAAGTGTGTATGTTTCCACGTACAGTTTATATACATTCCTCAAGAGGAATACATCTATAATAAGTTTACAAGGAAACACCTCTAGTTCAAAATATTTAGGCCTCTGCGTTTATGTTTCAGGATTAAGTAGAGAGATTCTTCAAGTTATATTGCATGACTATTTCCAAATCCTTTCGAGACATTAAAAGAAACAAAGACCATTTCTAATAACTGCAGCCCTTTAGTTTCTCAAAGAGCCCAGGGGTTGAGAGGTTAGAGTGGAGTTTCCTGAGTCTTGTCTAGCAATATGTAGTTGAGGCAAAGGTCACGATCCCAGTGTTTTGTTTTAAATAATATTGACCCATTAATTCTAAACCTGCTTGTTCCTGAAATTATACAGGATTATAGTTTGCAAACTGCGGGACAATGAAGCAAATCAAGATGAATTACAACCTGGCCCTCCCTCCCATCCCCTGACATCTAATCGGGGAGTGAGAGCAGTGAGTGTTTCAAAGAACGTTAGCTCCAGCTCTTCCTCGGTTGGTGGTTTTCAGAGTTTCTTTTTTAATGTGACATTTGATTTCAAACTGATGATAGCAACAATGACTTAGTTGCAAAGAAGTCATCACCGAGAGCTGGGGGTGGGGGGTTCAGAAATCTTTACGATTCTGGTCATAACCTCTCCTCGGGTCACCCTCTTTGGACCAGGACAAATGCCACTCTAGGAATCTGGGATAGAAAGGTCACTGAGGATTTCTGCAGCCAGGAAACCAACCGGTGTTCTTGCGCTTAGGTCGTTTTTAACGGAGGGGAAATTTACCTATGAGATTTTGGAGCCCAGACACCGAGTCTTTGTTCTGCACCGAACTGCTGCGGCCACTTGAAGACATCGCAGATAATGTCCCCGATTTAAGTGCAGTGCTCAATGCACATTAACTGAACTTTCTTTTGTAAGCTCTGCCCCCGACCTGCGGCGGGAATCACGCGGCAGGGGGGTGGGGGGGGGAGAGGGAAGAGGGCAGATAAAAGCCCTTTGGTCGAGGGTCACCTTCCTCCTTGTTGTTCTCTTGAGAGCAGTGGAGAGGAAACCGGTCCCCACGGGTGGACTTTGGCTTCTGGAGCCGCGGGGCCCACCCTTCGGGCCTCCCCGCGAGGCCGCCGGTAAAAGGGGAGGAGGGAGAAGGACGTGGGGGAGGGGCCGGGAGAAGGGATTTGGGGATGAGGAGTGGAAGCGCTAACGAGACTTGTTGGGAGGATTTGCTTCTCCACCAGGTCCCACAGAGGAACTGGGGAGTGCTGGACAGAGGAGGTGCATCTGGGCCTGGGGTGCTTGCTGACAAAGACCCCTAGGCCAGGAAATCAATCAATTTTTAGGCAACAAAAAAACAGAAGTCAAGATTTGGGAAGAGTTGTCACTTCGACTTGAGTGGTGAGGGCTGGGGGCGGAGACTCGAGGCTGGGGAGAGGGACTGCCGAGAGCTCGTCTCCCACCTCCTTTCCTCTGACTTCCAGAACAATTAGCCTCCTCACCCCCTCCTCCCCACACCCGTCGCCTGCTCACTGCCGGGCCCTTTCCGCACCTCCTTTTCCCTTGGAGTGAAAAAAGCCTACTTCCCGAGCCTGCGGGCTGGTCCCCTCGCTCCTCCCGCCCCCACGCGGGTCCCCCTGGTCCAGCCATCTCGACTGCTACCACCTCGGTTCCACTCAATCGATTTTTGCTGCATGTCAACACTTATTGCCGGTGAGTGTGAGGTTTTCCCGCCCCCCCTCCCTAGGTCTCTTAATGATTTCTGAGCTAGTTGTATATTAAAGTGCTTAAAGGAACCTTTAAGGTAATCTATACCGTGAGCACTAACCTCTTCTGCTTGGATCAAAGATGGCGAGTTTAGGGTCTTTCCCGAGCCCGGGGCTGGGCTCCAGTGCTCAGCGCTTTGCCCACTTCGTGCACCTAGGGACTGGGGTCCTGGGGCTGGAAACCCCAGCTGGCAACTCGCTGCCCAGGGGCAACTCCGCGCTCCCACCGTCATCCCCAGCAAGCTTCACCTGTTCAGAGCCCTTCTCTGGCCTCGTCTCGATTTTTCCACTTGTTAAGGTTGCTAAGGCCCCCAACTCGCCATTCCCCTAATGCCAAATTCAACTGGTGGAGACCTGCGGAGTGGTGTGTATAATGCACCTTTGTTCCCATTTCCCCCCAGTTCTGAAACCCCGACTTCACTATCCACAACTTGGTTACAAATTTAATTTTTTGGAAGAAATGTTGGCCGGCGGTTTGGTGAAGCAGGCAAGCCCTCCCTGCCTCACACCACTCTTCCTCCTTTGAGATGCTGGAACCAGGGCTTCCTTTAGGACTGTCACCAAAAAAAAATAGTGGGCAAAATGGCTTCTTAAAAGCCCCAATGTTCCTCGAAAGTCCCATCAATTAACCCCGTGAAGAGCGGCGAGTTCTTTTAAGAGGAGTCTATAAAAATCCACCGATTCGACGGCGGACGCCCCCCGCCCCCAGCCTCCTCGCAAATGTGAGTGAAAACAAAGGTCCGGCAGCAATCCACATCCTAATCCACAGCGCCCCAGTCCCTGCCGCCTGCTCCCCAGCCTCCACTGCCCAGATCCACACCTCTAGGCTGGGAGTCCCCGGCTCACCAATCTGAAATTTTAGGGTGGTGAAGAGGGTGCAAACCGATCAGAGGCCTTTATGGATATAGAGTTTCTACTGATTGACTTATCCCACCACCAGCAGCAAACTGCAGTAATCTACGCACACAGGGAGCGAGAAACATGGCTGACTGAGCGGTCTCCCCGTGAACCAAGACGGCTCTGTGGTCGGGTCTTCCGAAGGGCCTTTTAAAAACTATTCTTCCTCCTCCAGCCTCCGTAATCTGAAAAGTGTGTTTAAACGGAATTTGAGAAACTGGTAACTGAAGGTGAGGCTTAGGGGGGGAAAAGTGGGTTAAGTAGAAACCCAGGCTTAAACACATAACTAATTTATCATTTCAGATTTTAGCAGACAAACCAGGGAGCTATCACTCTAACCTTAAAAGTACATTTATCACCCTGGCCACCTCCTCCCCCACAAAGGGAGGTCTTCTCATTGTTGACTTTCTACCCGAAAGACAGAACCCAGAATTTATGGTGCTTCTTGTGCATTACTTCATTCAGTTCTGTGCTGAGTATTTCATGCATTTTATGTCAATGTTGATTTTAGATTTGATTTAAAGATTAGAGAAAGCCTGCAAGAAATAAAATATCCCGCTGAAGATGTACTTAATTCTACTTAATTACCTTTAAAAAAAAAATCATTGCCACTCCTGTTATAGTAGTTGTTAACAGTTTGGTGGCAGCTGGGAAAAACAGGAGATTCTTAAGGCTTCGGTTATTCAGCCAAAGAAGAGATGAACTGAATTCCTTTTAAAAATAATTTTGTAAACATTTAATGAATATATGATAGAGGTGTTTACTTTGGTGGGGGCCACATTTTTCTCTTCTCTCAGAGGGGCTAAGAGAAATCCAGGCTTGTTGGGCCCTTCCTGAGCAGAATCTGAGTCTGCACCCTGACTGATGGCCCTTTCTAGATCTAGTTCTTAGCCTTCCTGTAAACATGATTAAGGTGCTCCCCACCACCACCTCTGGGTCCTTCTGAGCTCCCCCCTCCCTGTTTCCTACGCCAAGCCTGGCCCATCAACTGAGAAAATGGCCCTCCGCTGCAGAGACCTTGGGCGCCAGAACTGAGGCTGGGGTGCTGCCTTAGAGTCCCCAGACTTTAACAATGTTTTCTCCAGAGACCTCATGCACCAGAACTGAGACTGGGGTGCTGCCTTAGAGTCCCCAGACTCTCTAACAACTCTCTAACAACGTTTTCTCCATCCAGGATGGCAACGCGTTTCTCCTCCTCCGCCAGGACCTTGCAGCAGTGCGGGAGTCTCCTGTACTCAGTCCTGAGCAGGAACCTTTATCCCAGCGGCTCTAGGGAGATGAGACCTAAAGCCTTTTCTGCTGCCCCCAGAAAACTGTGGGGCAGCGGGTGATTAATAACTTGGAACCCGGGCTAGTGCGTACCCAGCTCTGTGCCAGCAACCCCTTCCTGCCAGGTCCCCTAGTGCCTGTTGTCAGCAGCTCCCGAAACTTGGGGTCCCTGGGCCCGGAGCTGGGTGGGGTCCCTCTGTACCCAGCTGAAGCTGATGACAGTTACCTTGGTCTTCACTCTGACTTTGGTGGCCTTGTGTGTGAAGGAGGGGGTGGGGGTGGGGACAGGTGACTGCAGAGGTGGAAACCCCATAGGCCCAGGGGGACTTTGCCTGTCAGAGCCCAAGGCTACCGATGGCAGGTCACTTGCTTAGGCAATAATGTAATATCAAATAAAAGAAAGCAAAACTCTTTCCTGGGCGCTGTGCCTCCGTGATGTTCAAAGGATCCTTGACCTCAGCCGCCCAGCCTCTGGCTTCCCCCGCTGAAAATGCGAGAGATGGAAGGAGCCTCTCTTATCAGATGAGGCAGGGTCTTGTTTGTCTATTTATCTGACCAGAGGGGTAAATTCCCGCCCGCCGATGCCGGGCTGCAGCTCGGCACGAAGCTCCCAGGCGGAGACTCCCTGTCGGCTGCCCGAGGCGCCGCGGGCCTGGGCCTCTGCGCCTGCGGATCCGC